AGCTCTATGATGATCAACTAGGAGATTTTGATTCAAAATTATTCATTACCTAGCTAAATTCTGTCAAATTTTAGTCCTGCTTTTATTGTATGCTGAAGCCCTGCAAAGAAAATTAAGTATATATTTTCTTTCTTACTTCTAAATTTAATGTAGCTCTTTAATTGATTTGTTCTCAAATTTCAGTAAGTGTAGTATTAGTGTAAATAAATAAATAAATAGTTTGAATTACTGTGATTCCTTCCCTCTTCCCACCCCAAAAGCACATACTGATTCTAAAGGTAATTTTTATGGAGCTTATAATATGCCATGAAAGTTTGGTGACATTATATATTGCAATATATGCAAGCAATTTCAAATGTACCTTTTAGAAATGCTGAAATATTTGGTACGTCATATGAACAAAATGAAACCAGTTTCTGTAAGGATAATTATACCCAGATCAGCTTAATGTGAGCGGTCTTGTCAGGATAAACTTGCTGCTGCATGCCATGGAATGCCCCAAGCGTGGGGGCGGCGCGCAGTTTGGAAGTGTCTTGCATGTTACTGCTCCTCAAGTGGAACAAAAGTTACAGAGCTTAACATGACAGCATGCTGGCTTTCAAGCAAAACTACTTGCTCTGTTTATACTCTTTATAAGCATTCTCCCATTTTATAAGAAAAAAATGTGTGACAATGAAATGCAATACATGTTCATCTCACAGAAAGTTTACAGTGTTCAATCACAGAGTGTAATATTTTACTGAATCACTTTGGAATATTTTCTACTACTACAGAAAATACAGATTGTATTTCAATCGGCATTGGGAAAAATTGAGAAAATAAACCATCCTAGTAGCTATGAATACATTTAATTTTACAAAACTCAGAAGACTTTAAGTAGGCACATTATTACTCAAACTGACCATTCAGTACCTGAAGTGTTAAATTTTTTTTTATTATTTACTGTACTGCCAAAAGGCCTTGCACTCTGATGAAGTCTAGTGTGCCATTTATATACTTCTGTTAAAGTGTTTGTGACAAGCTGCTATTATGAGTGCAGTATTTTACAATTAAATTAATAAGTATGAGCCTTTTGGCTCCCAACAACACCCAGTTTTCATGTTACACACAACAGATAACTCACAAAAAGAATTGGTCAACTGTGAGAGTCATATAGCCAACTCCCACCTCAGAGATTAGGAACTGTGTTTTATAAAGTGAGTCAGACTACTGACCCTTGATACATATTAATATCTACCTGCATCAGCACATACTCCAACACATCTGGCAGCCCAGAACTAAATCCAACTGAATCAGTAACGCTACAGATGGAAAGTTAGCTGCAATGCTATATGTTTGTATGGGAGGCTGAACAGCCCAGTAGCTTGCTTCTTCACAGAACCGTGTGCATGTTATAGCATGAAATGAAAGTAAGAAGATACAGCTGAAACCTCACATTGTTTTTCCCAGTCTATCATCTCTGATCTTGTATAACATGGGCAAAAATATTTAATACTTATATGTAACACTGATCATGTATCATTTCAGGCTCTTAAGAGGTTTGAAAGTGTATGGGATGCCATGAAATATCTTAGAAGTGCTAGCACAATACCCATTTATAAAAATAATTATGAGAAGGAATAATTTTAACAGGCAAGTAAGCTACAGGTGCACAAAAAAAAAAAGCCATATTGGAATCCAGGGCTGCAGCTGATCTAGTGCTTCCTTCTCCACCCATTACACTACAATTGTTTAGGATCTGCAGATCTGCTTGTTCTCATCTTTCACACTCCTCTTAAGAGAGCAAACGGCCAACTACTCTTGTGTGCTGCTTGCATTTACAATATAGTTGTAATACACGTGGGCAACAGACTAACAAACCTAAACTGCAAGTACCTTCTGTTTGTTTTGCTTTGTTCATGTGTATAAAGCAACACATACATTTCTTAAGGACTAGCAATAACAGAATGAACCATGCTTCTGAAATGAGAGTCCTTCTGAGACATGCTCAAGTAGGTGACAGTCTGATCACCAGTGCCTACCTCCAGAAGGATTTATCCAGGTGTACATCTGCACAGCCTGCACTCCACGCTGTGCTAGTGTTTGGGCTCACGGCCATGAAGGACGGCTGAGAAGCTGCAGAAGTTTAAGCTGGTTTAAAGTACTGATGTCACATTTCCCCCTTCCCTCACCAGCTGTTACCATGACTTCCCTTGGGCTGGCACTTGTGCACCTGGGTGACGAGCTGGCTCAAAGGGATGACTTGACTGACACAAAGAACAGCTTGAAGCCCAAGCTGCAACCACCAAGACAGGCACATGCTGCCACAAAAGTACCTGTGACTTCATGTCAGCATCTGTTTTGCAAAGCAGCACCACTTCCAGGCCAATGCCAGCTTGCAGGAATCCAGTTTAGAAGTGGGTAAATCAGAGGCACTGCTGCAACCACCGAGGTCAACAAAACCTTCAGTCGGACCTCTGAAATGAAATTCTCCCAAACGTTTTAACCACATTAAAGAAGATTAAAGTACTATCTTTGAAACAAAGCATTGCTGATTTCCTCAGGGACAGAAAACTTGAACAAAGGATAAAAATAAAAAGGTATACGCATCTTATGCTTTAGTTTTGCTTGCTTTTGTAGTTTTTGTCGTTTAGGTTTTCATTTGGGTTTGGGTAGTTTTTTTAATATAAGACTCTGTCCGACAATTCTTACATCTGGCTAGGAGAAACATCATCTTGTTCTCCAAAATGCTTAACTTCTGTGTTTCTGGGAGCAGGCTGTTAGCTGTCCATGACCAATCTCTCAACACAGCATTCAGTTTCCGAGCCTTTTCTCCATGCCCTCTTCGTGTTTATTTAATTTCTTGTCAGCCTTAGCAAAACATTTACCTTACCTAGTTTGGGGAAACACAGGTACCTTTTTACAGCTATAAATTTTGCTGCTATGTTTGCATCTACTATGATACTGCTCTAAGAGATTGTTTTACCTTGATTCTTTCAATAACTCTTCTAAATACACTGGAAGCAACTTGTGAAGAAATGAAAGCACCTAATTCAAATACAGATTTTTTTTTTTAAGCTTCTCACACATCTCTTAAACGGGGTATCTGCATTAAAGAATAAGTAAAAAAATTAACCAAAGACACACACATCTCAGAACATATTGTCTACACCAAGTTTTAATTCCATGTCCCTCAGTAAAAAAGTAATGTAGCATAGCATTTTCATCTATACAGGACCAGACTCAGCTGGGGTAAGAAAATTTAGAAAAAGAAGAACAGTGGTCAGAATACAGAGGTGTCTGTAAGAAGTAAGAATATAATTAGGCTTTTGTTTTAAAAATGTGAAATATTTTATTAATAACTATGGAAAATTTATGGCCCAGTATACAAGACCTTGAAGAGTTTATCTAGATTCACAGATGTACCAAAGTATACTACAAACCAACTTACGTGCTCTTATTTTCTCCCCCTAAACTTTCATAATCTTTTTTTTTTTTTAATACAAATAAACATCATTTAGCCATAAGGAAGCAACCAAAAGAAGAAATGACTCCATGATGCTGTAAACTATGTTTTCTGTCTTTGTAAATGACAGTATTTGATAGAAGTATAGGATCTGACTTATTGTGTAGATACTGGTAATTGTACATTATTTCAAAAACTAACTACTCAATGTTACTTGTGGCATAAGCTAACTCTGGTGTTCTTTGTACGCAAAATTCTCTGGACTTGGGATGTAGAAAAACCTTTTCCTTTGTATTACTCAGGCAAATTCACTGAAAATGGACATTCAAGACTGAATGAAAGGTGGTTGGAAGCATAAAATAACTGAAGCTTTTTACTTATTCTTCCACAGGAATTAAACTTTCTTAGCTTTCAAAACAAAATCTGAGCAACAGCTGGAGAAATATGTGGATCTAGAGGGAAGATAGGCAAGCATGAAGGCTATAAAACAGTTGTCTTGTCCAAAGAATGCTTTTGAATATTTCAGATTTCTTATACAAAAGTTGTCATGATAGTAACAACACTGTCAAATGACAAGTTGGGTAGTTTGATGTATAAAAACAATTGCATTAGCTGGTACACTGGATTTTTTAAATTTATTTTTAAATCATCACTTCCTGTTTCTTAAGTTTTTGTAGGAACAACTTTCCATTTAACTTGCAGAAATATTTATTATGGCCAGAGGAGGAAACATTTCAGAGTGATACCCAAGTTTATTGCTGAAAGAATATAGAAACAAACAGTATTTAAGGCAAGAAATAATAATGTTCAGAGCATACTCTCTATGTACATGCCAACATGAAGTTTGCTGTAACCCGAAATGCAGGTATAAATGTTTCATAAGAGAACACATTGTTATCAAGGCTTTCAGATTCAAGAGCTACCAATCATTTGATATGCTTGAGATGAATAGGTGCGCAAACACATTTAGAGTTAAAAAGTTTGCTAAAGAATTGAAAAAAGTAGATAATCAGAATACTAGTTACAGCTGAAATATTAACAAAATGCTTTGCTATAGTTATTGTCATTGTATGTGAAATATATTAGGTATGTTTCGTACTATTTAAATATGCTAACACACTTACAGCAAGATGTTCCCTGAAAACAAATTTAACAACAGAAAGTATTTCAGAAAAGCTGGATGAAACTAGGTAGTTAATTCAGGAAAAAAAAAAATTTTTTTGATTACTACATTTAACTAGCACTGTTACTTTGATACAAATATGTGTTAAATCCACTGTATTTCTCTTTGGCTGAATATTAAAAGTAAAATTCAACATATTTAAAGAGAAATTAAAGCTTTACATACACTCTGTTGAAAATGTAATGAATTAGAGAGGCTTCTTTAAACTGTCCCATAACTCTTTACATCAAATCTGCATATTTTTTTTAATACTTCAAATATTAATGGAAGGTGAACAGCTATCAGTGAAATAGATGTATGTAGGACATAAGCACCACTAAAAAGCCCTTTAATTTATGGGACATATGAAAGTGAAGTCATCAGGACTTGTACCTTGTGCTGGCGATACTTGGTGATTCTGCTCCAAGCCTACATCTTTCTAGCTGATTAGCCACAATTTGCCTTTCCACTTCCAGTTCTCTGGTAAGTCTTTGAAATTGGAGCTCCTGAAATTTCAAAATAAAAAGAAAAGCATTCTTGATGTTAAAAAATGGGTGTGGATTAATTCTGAAACAATCACTGTTTCATAACAATCATGTTTCTTGTTTTGACTCTTCCTTAGTGGAATAAACTATTAGAAGATTAGAGTGGGAATTTAATGGTTCGTTCTTTAAATCAGTGATTCATGCAATATTGATTTATCACCTGTTACAAAAGGAAAAACATGTTTAAGCATTTGTGGATTTTACTCCTCCTGCAATTAAAATTTTTGTGTCTCCTTATGTTGCCACAATCTAACAAAATCAGTGCCTATAAAAGTCAGTCTTCAATTTCATCTATAAACAAGGTATCCTGGAAATTATTGTATCCTAACCTTTTCAATTGCAAAACTTCAAATCCTAAGCTATGCTATGTTCTGACTTCTTATTAAAAAAACTTAAAATTTATTATTTCAAACTGGCTGATGGTAGAGATGTGGTATTTCACCTTTCCTGATTTCAGCTTTTGTTATATTTCTTGGTCTAAGGTACCAAACCTCAGCCTTTGTAAAACGCTTTTGGAACATAACGCTCAGAGAAGACATGGGAAATACAAGCACTGCACAAATGTTTGTGTTATTAAAATCTGGAAACATTTTCTATAAACATGATACTCTGAAATCTATACTATATCATCAAGGGATATCAGTGATGTTTTCATCCACAGTTAGCTTTTATTAACGATAGAAAAGGATTCTATCAAGCAATTGTATTATTTTCAAACTGATATTCTACATCCCCTGAAGTTTACGTAAACTGTTCAGTACTATTTAAAAATAGATGGACACTGATATTTAATAATCTGATGAAGCAAGTTTTACATACAAGTCAAATACAGTACAGAAGCATTCCTTTAATTTTAAAGTGCAAATTACTAATAAGGTTTTTTTTCTGAATGTAAATCATGTAATTGTATTACATAGTAGTTGCATGCCTTGCCATATTACAAAAGTCACCTTCACTCATAAATTATAGTTAATGCAAACTATTCTTTCACACCTTACATTACATGGAATAAGGCTTAAATACTTTACTTTCATTAATGGTCCCTGAAAGAGCGCTCTACTTGCAGTTTGTACACCTTTTCAGTAAAGTGTGGTTCAGCAATGCACCCTATGGCTTTCAGCAGTCTGCAAGTACCTCTCTACCTCCCACAGCTCCAGTCCTGGGGGGCTTCACAGCAGTGCAAAAGAGAGGTCACAGTAACAGTGTAGTAAAAAGCTACTCTAAAACCTTGCAGAAGTAGGGACAAAGTTTTTTCTACTGACAACACAATGAGATTAGCTCCAAGAACCCCCAAACAGAAGGCTAATTAGCACTGATTTCATCAGGAAGCCAGCTGAGGGCTAAGTCAAATGGCAGCTGCTGTACTGCCGAAACAACTCCATATATTAGATAGCGGGGGGGGGAGGAGGGGGGGAGATGGCGGTAAAGCCACTTCTGTAAGTCTGATTTGAGCTCCATGCAACAAACTGGCCTGTTAAAGATAGGCCACATAAGCTACTGCCCCTCCCAAACAATACAAGGAATTGTAGACAATTTCAAACATTTCTCAGAACTCAGTAATCAAACTGAATAAACACACCCTAATATTCCAAATATTGGCCAGCAAAACTGTTTGCCTCCAGGACACTGAACTCACCCTCTACTGCCCCAGGACACAAGCATCCTCAGAACAGGACTGCATTTTTCTACTACTGCTCTACTAAGACCAGTTCAACAGAACAGAATACCCTGTAGTTCTGTTAAAAATAAATACGCAAACCACGGGAGCAGCGGAAGGGACATGTGGTCCTCAGCTTCCTCCTGGCCACACCTTCCATTAGGTTGGCATTTACTGTCAAGCTTCAGCATCAGAAAAGCTTAGCACAGTCAATGCTCAGACACGAAAGAGCATTTTAGGACCTATGTCCTAAACTTGGATTTTATTAAAACCTGCTTTTAGACAGAATTCTAAAACTAAATTCTTTTAATCCTGAGACCTGATATGAAAAGCCTCACGAACATGATAACCTGCTGACCACAGCAAATCATATGGGCCTGGATATGGACTAGAAAGTATGGATAATATCAGAAGGTTTGTATGACATGTAACTGCATCCAGTAGCAGAGACCCAGTCATCACAGTCCGATACCTTCATGTTATGCCAAAGAGGTACACATGCACCCAGTCAGTTCATTTGGACAGTTTGTCTTTTGGAGAGAAAATACTAAGAAGTGTATTATAGCAAAAAAGTCAAAGAAATTTATAAATGAGAATTTATTTTCCAGTTCTAAGTCTGAATACAGATAATATATCCATCTAAAAGCTGATTCACCAACCAGTCATTAGCACGCTAGGGGAGAACACTGTAATTTAAAAAAAAACAAAAAACATTCAGATGCTGAAGCTCTGTAAGTTTTGAAGCAAATGTCAGCAAGACAAGCTTTTTCCAAAGTAAACAATGATGTATTATATAGCATGTAACAAACATATATCTTTAAAATAAACAGAATTGCACTACTTGTTTGCAGAAATAATATAAAACATTTACCCTTATGTTTAAAGCTGCTTCCTGTTTCTTAATTTTAAATCAGTATTTAAATAGCAATGTCATGGATACAAAATATGAATTTGAACACAAGACTCAAGTTGCCTATTATTATTTACTGATCTTTCCATTAGATGAATAAAACATATATTAGCCATTATTTGCTTCCATTCAACTAATCTCTATTAATTTGCCTTTCCATTGCAGGCAGAGGCATTAATGAAAATAATGTTATTCTAGAAAACACACTCTTAATACATGCTACGAATACACATCCATCTGAGCTCTCCTCTCCCTCCGCTGTCTCCTCCTGCTCTCTGACAAAGTCCTTTACACCAGCTCATGTGTATTTCTGCAGGAAGGCATTTTATAAGGCAAGTGTTATCAGTAGGCAACTTTTGCCATTTTGTGTTCCAGAAGAAAAAAGTTACAGTAAATTACCAAATCCTACAAAAAGGTTGATATTGTCTAGAAAGCCTTTTCACATAAAGTAAGTTAAAAAGGAGCATGTAACAAAGAAAACAGGACAAAGCTCCAGTTCCAACAGTCACAATGGCAGAAATCAGGTATACAGCAGGGAAAATAAATAAAATCTGGGCTTGTCAACCAAGCTTGCATCTACACGATCACAGCTTTTTAAACTAATTTGTCACGCACTTCTGTCCTAAAGGTGTTTAAGAGATGAACCAGTTAGTTGAGGTCATCAGAAAAATCAATAATTATTTACATTTTACAAGTGTAAAGTAAGTACAGGTATAAAAGACAAAAAAGCCCCACTGAATCTAAAAGAATGACCAATGCAAGAGAAGTCTTCTCTGAAACACTACAAAAGTGTAACAGCTACAGAAAATGCTATTTTTTTGCAGCACAGAAAAGGGATCAAGATAAAATACAGAAAGAAAAAGTAGAAGATATGCTATGTTTTTCTCATTTCACAGTGTACTTACTTTATAGAGTATTAATAGGCATACAGTTTCCTTCCCGCCCTCCCTGAGAACTCCTCAGGGTATATTCAAATTCTTCATCTGGAAAATAAAGATCACCCAATTCCAATAATCACCTCAGAGTTTTGAGGATTTCAGGCAATTAAAAAAAATAGGATTAGCAAGATTTCACATCACAGAATGGTTTGCATTAGCAGGGACATCTTTCACTACACCAGGTTGCTCAAAGCCCCATCTAACCTGGTCTTGAACACTTTCAGGGAGGGGGCATCCACAACTTCTCTGGGCAATCTGTTCAGTCATCGTAAAGAAACCTTCTTCCTTATATGCAATATAAATCTGCCCTCTTTCAGTTTAAAACCGTTGCCCTTTGTCCGGTCACTACAGGTCCTGGTAAAAAGTCTTTCACCGTCTTTCTTATAAGCCTCCTTCATATATTGAAAGGCTGCGATCACGTCTCCCTGGAGCCTTCTCTTCTCCAGGATGAGCAAGCCCAATGCTCTCAGCCTTTCTTCACAGGAGAGGTATTTGAGCCCCGTGACCATTTTTTTGGCCCTCCTCTGGACCTGCTCTAACAGGTCCATGTCTGTCTTGTCCTGAGGACCCCAGAGCTGGATCCATGTGGGGTCTGACAAGACCTGAGTAAAGGGACAGAATCGCCTCCCTCAAGCTGCTGGGCACGCTTCTTTTGATGCAGCCCAGGATACAACTGGCTTTTTGGGCTGCAATCACACAGTGCCGGCTCATACCTCATTCTTCATCCACCAGGATCCCCAAGTCCTTCTCTGCAGGGCTGCTCTCAATCTGTTCATCCCCCATTCTGTACTGATACTGACAACTGTCCTGACCCAGGTGCAGGACCTTGCACTTGGCCTATCTGAACTTCATGAGGCTCATGCTGGCCCACTCCTCAAGCCTGTCAACGTCCCTCTGGATGGCATCCCTTCCCTCTAGCAAAGTGAATCAACTGCATCACTCAGCTTGGTGTCACCTGCAAACTTGCTGAGGGTGCACTCAATCCCACTGTCTATGTCACCGAAGAAGGTAGTAAATAGTATTAGTCCCAGTATGGACACTTGAGGGACAGCACTCAGTACTGGTTTCCACTTAGACTTTGAGCCGTACTATACTCTTTGGACATGGCCGTCCAGCCACTTCCTTATCCATCTAACAGTCCATCCAACAAACCTGTCTTTCTACAATTTAATGGCAAGAATGTTGTGGGGGACCACACCAAAGGCCTTACAGATGTCCAGGTAGATAACATCTGGAGCTCTTCCCTTGTCTACTGAAGCAGTCACTCCATCACAGGAGGCCACCAGATTAGTCAGGCACAATTCGTCCTTGGTGAAGCCATGTTGGCTGTCTCTAATCACCTCCCTGTGTTCCCTATCTTTTGACGTGTTTTCCATGTCAGAGAATCTGCTCCATGATCTTACTGGGCATTGAGGTGAAGCTGACTGGTTGGTAGTTTACAGGATCCTTCTTTTTA